TGTGTTTTTCCCCCCAGAAAACTTTTATTTCATATCTCCCTATAAATGTGATTTGAAAAAAATATCTAAAACAAACTATGTCAGATTTGTTCTAGCTACATGAGGTCACAATTTATTCCACTCTTCCCCTCTTTTATTCAAGATAAAAGATTACCCAAAGGAAGAGATTAAGTAAAGCCAACAATTGTAACATTGCAGCAACATTGAGTGAAAGGCCATTAATTGTATGAATTATAGAATTGTTTAAAGTGGTATATTTTTTAAAACAAGCATATAAAAAATTTACTATAGCCCCAGAATTATACAAAAATTTTTTCCTATAAATGTTTGAATACAATATTATTAATTTATTTGCTGAAGGTAACAGTAATAAAATACTAATAATTACCATGTGTTGAGTACTTCCTACGTGCCAGGAACATGCCAAGAGCGTACACACCCTGACACCTTCCCAAGGGTCTGCAGACTGTACACAATCGGGTGAGGGCGTGTGATTCCAACCCCGCCTCCAGTTTCTCCCTATGCTACACAGTAAAGGCCCTTTGCTGTGTGTGCTGGATGTCCTCACCATTACACCACAGCTACCAAGTAAGAAGTCCAGCTGCTCACCTGGAGAAATCATGGAGCGAGGCCACTTCGAAAGGGAGAGGCCCTGAGATGACAGGGAAGAGAGAGAAGCTTAGCCATCCAAGTCCCAGCTGAACCAACCAGCAGCAAGACCAGCAGAATAACTACCAGCCTCCTGCCAACCAGCAGCAAGACTAGCAGAATAACCACCAGCTGAGCCCAGCTCAGGTCACAGAACTGTGAGCAAATAACCGCTTGGTTATTGTTTTAAACCAAGAACTTGGTATGAGCTGGTTTTTCAAAAGGTCTGTTGGTACCATGACTCTGCTTGATTATTAAATTTTTAAATATTTGGTTTATCAAAGTATTGTGAAGCCACTTTGGAAGATCATACACTCTTCTGCTTTCAGGAATTATAGTTTGTTTGTTTGTTTAGGTATCAATTTTTGTGTAACAGATCATTCCATAAATAGTAGCTCAGGGCTGCCCAAACCACAAAAGCAGAAAACTTGCAGATCTTTTTGGGCTTATGCTTGGAACTGGCACATCACTTCTATATTCTATTAATTAAAGCAAGTCACAGGCCAGCTCATTAAAAAAAAAAATGAAAAGGGAACCCTCTGAATGGGAGAACATATTTGCTAATGATACGTCTGATAAGCAGTTAAATTTCCAAAATATAGAAAGAACTTATACAACTCAACACTAAGAAGACAACCCAATTAAAAACTGGGCAAAGGATGTTAGTAGGCACGTCTCCAAAGAGGACATATGGATGGCCAATAGACGTGAAAAAAATGCTGTGTCACTAATCACCTGAGAGATGCAGATTAAAACCACAATGAGATATCATCCCACTCCTATCTGAATGACTACCATCAATAAATGAACAAATAAGTGTTGGTGAGGATGTGGAGAAAAGGGAACCCTCACATACTGTTGGGAATGCATACTGGTGCAGCCACTGTGGAAAACTCAAAAAATTAAAAAATGCCTTTTGACAGAAAGAACCCACTTCTGGGAATGTATCCCCCCAAAATCTGAAACACTAATTCAAAAGAATATTTGCACCCTATGTTAGCAGTGTTATTTATAATAGCCACAATCGTGAAACAGTAGATAAGTAGACAAAAAAGATGTGGTACGCCCGGCCAGTGTGGCTCAGCGGTTGAGCATCGACCTATGAATCACGGCACACTGCAGATGATGGTTTGTTAAGTTGTATACTTGAAACCTGTATGGTTTTGTGAACCAATGTCACCCCAATAAATTTAAAAATGGTGGAGCTGGGGGCTATACAAGGGTGTGAATGCTGACAGAGAGCATGGTTCCTTTAGGATTTAGGGCCATCAAATTGATGGGCCACCAAAATAGTCTTAAAAACTTTCAATGGGCCTGGCTGGAGTTGCTCGGTGGTTGACCTCCCATGAACCAGGAGGTCATGGTTCAATTCCTAGTCAGGGCACATGCCAGGTTATGGGCTCGATCCCCAGTGTGGGGCGTGCAGAAGGCAGCCAATTGATGATTCTCCCTCATCATTGGTGTTTGTATTTATCTCTTCCTCTCTGAAATTTTTTAAATTATTTTTATTTTGAAAAACTCTCAATGGGCACTACATCCCCCATATCTAACAATGCTTAGCTTGTAGTAGGTTCTCAGTAAATACCTGTTGCTAACTACTACTGAAGCATCTGGCTAATGCTGCACATATAAGCAGCACCACTGGAAATGTGGAAATTCAGGTTCTGAGCAACCACCTGCAGAGCCACATGTATAGCAGCAGCACTAGTTGGCTGCTCTGTGTGGTGGTCATTTGCACATCAGTGAGACACCATGGGACTTCTCAGAAGGCATCACCTATTGTTAGGTCCTTCCTGAGAATCTGTTTAAAACACATTCAACAATAAATAAATTGCAGCATTTACATTCTGTGGAAACAAAGGGGAAGTTCTTGGAGAGTGGTTAGTGTGGAAGGAAGGCAGAGGGTTTCATTGTTCTAGTCAGGGGAGATTTCCAGGAAGAGGTGGTTTCAGGCACCCTTTGAATGATGGGAGAAGAGATATGACCTTAAGAAAAGAAAAAAATCCATGACACAAGAGTAAGATGAATGAAAGGGGTGGTGAATGTTTGCAAAGAATGGAGGGCCAATTTGGGAAGGTGTTTGACAGAACAGCCCAGGCACTTTCTGCAAAAGCTTGCCAGGGCCTGAACGCTTGCTTCTGCCAAAGCTGGCCATTTACGGAGCCTGAGCAGTGGCGTGACAGTGCGCTCAGGCTCCCGCCCACTCTGCTTCCCAGCTACTTCTAGAGGGTTCAGCTGGGAGCACAGGACCAACGTGGCTGCATCTCTCAGGTTCCCGGGTACCAGGGTGCAGCGATGCACAGCTCCAACACCACGTTTAAAAGTGGCTGCCTTGAAAAGACACGAGGAAACCAGGAGGAGGCAACCTGGGCGAGCCCCCAACTACCTAGAGCCCCATTCTTCGCTGGGGGAAGCAGCCCCTATGAAGCCAGAGCTCCCTGAAACATAATCCCCAGAGCATTCCCCTGCCAAGGAGCACATTACAAGGGGGCAATGTGGGGTCGCTCAGACCGTTCTTTGTAACCATCCCCTTTGCAATGCACGTGGGAGAGGTGACTAGGAAGTGGGTAGGGGCCTGTATTTTCCCTGCTTGACACACCACCAATGAGTAACCAGCAAATTCCTGGAACTCCCTTTACTGTTCGTGCTTTCATTAGGAACCACACTCCTGAGTCACACAGCCAGGAAAGCTTATTATGTAGAATCGTATCCAGGCCCAACGTAGTAGGTTCTCAGTAAATACCTGTTGCTAACTACTACTGAAGCATCTGGCTAATGCTGCACATATAAGCAGCACCACTGGAAATGTGGAAATTCAGGTTCTGAGCAACCACCTGCAGAGCCACATGTATAGCAGCAGCACTAGTTGGCTGCTCTGTGTGGTGGTCATTTGCACATCAGTGAGACACCATGGGACTTCTCAGAAGGCATCACCTATTGTTAGGTCCTTCCTGAGAATCTGTTTAAAACACATTCAACAATAAATAAATTGCAGCATTTACATTCTGTGGAAACAAAGGGGAAGTTCTTGGAGAGTGGTTAGTGTGGAAGGAAGGCAGAGGGTTTCATTGTTCTAGTCAGGGGAGATTTCCAGGAAGAGGTGGTTACAGGCACCCTTTGAATGATGGGAGAAGAGATATGAGAGATATGACCTTAAGAAAAGACAAAAATCCATGACACAAGAGTAAGATGAATGAAAGGGGTGGTGAATGTTTGCAAAGAATGGAGGGCCAATTTGGGAAGGTGTTTGACAGAACAGCCCAGGCACTTTCTGCAAAAGCTTGCCAGGGCCTGAACGCTTGCTTCTGCCAAAGCTGGCCATTTACGGAGCCTGAGCAGTGGCGTAACAATGCGCTCAGGCTACTTCTAGAGGGTTCCGCTGGGAGCACAGGACCAACGTGGCTGCATCTCTCAGGTTCCCGGGTACCAGGGTGCAGCGATGCACAGCTCCAACACCACGTTTAAAAGTGGCTGCCTTGAAAAGACACAGGGTAACCAGGAGGAGGCAACCTGGGCGAGCCCCCAACTACCTAGAGCCCCATTCTTCGCTGGGGGAAGCAGCCCCTATGAAGCCAGAGCTCCCTGAAACATAATCCCCAGAGCATTCCCCTGCCAAGGAGCACATTACAAGGGGGCAATGTGGGGTCGCTCAGACCGTTCTTTGTAACCATCCCCTTTGCAATGCACGTGGGAGAGGTGACTAGGAAGTGGGTAGGGGCCTGTATTTTCCCTGCTTGACACACCACCAATGAGTAACCAGCAAATTCCTGGAACTCCCTTTACCGTTCGTGCTTTCATTAGGAACCACACTCCTGAGTCACACAGCCAGGAAAGCTTATTATGTAGAATCGTATCCAGGCCCAACGAAGAGGCACATACAGTCACAAGTGGAAGGAAGCCCCCAGAGCCATCTGACCCGCCTCCCGCTATCAGGAATGAGAATGCCAAATGATCAAGTGGGCTGGTTGTTACCGAAAAATATGCCTTGCTCTCAGCCCTTAGAAGGTTCCAGGGAATACCTCCAAGTGATACAATCATTGGAAAATGAGACTCAAATGCCAAGGAGAGAACACCTGGTTGATTCACACCAGAGAAGAGCAGGTTTTAGGTGCAGTGGTTGAGTTCTGTGGAAGCGTTTGGGCCAATACCTCTCTGCCTCTGCTGGGGAGAGAACAAGAGGAAATGGGTTTGAAGAACGGCATGTGGAACTGAAAATAAACTGAAGAACTGCTGACCATCAGCATTTTTAAGTCCC